GCGAAAAAGACATAGTTCCTGATGCGTGAGCAGTAGGGGTCCCCTGCCAAATCTAAAAATCGAACAGTGCCCTGCACAGGGTCCAGAGCAGCACGGACTCGATCTCGAAGACAAGTTGTGGGCAGAGTCCGTTTGGGTTTTCAAGCGCTCAGCCCGTTCACGAGGCACCTCAGCACGGATGTGCTCGGGGGCGACTCTCACCAAAGAGCTGCCACGAGCGACCCAAAAAACAGAGGCGCGTGATGAGCCGTCGTCAAGGACACGGGGCTCAATTACCGCAAACAAGTGCAGGTCCATGCCATCGTTCAACATCAAGCTTGGCTGGAGAAGGTCTCCAGTAGAACACGGGGTCTCCGATGAGAATCTCCGGGTGCTCAGCACGAGCTTTGGCATTGAGCGCACGCTTGAGCAAAGTACTTGTATTTGCAGCACGGAAAGCTTGAGCGGTCAGGCGTCGTAGTGCTTGATCCTCGACATGAGCTCCCTTTTCATCAGGCCTCAACTTGCATGGTTCATCAGAAAGGCCTCCATCGTGTGGATTGTGTCCAAAAACGATCTGATAGGGAGAACTGCCGTGCACTGAACGAAGCCGGTTCCGCTGATGGCAAGCAACCCGAACTGCAAATTCAAAAAGTATATTAGGTTCTTCCTTTTGCATTTTGAGCAACGGAAGACGGCGTACAGCATGAAGTCGTTCAACAGCTCCCATTCGATTGTGTGCTTCTTGTGGAACAAGAACCAAGCGGATTCCATGATGGTCAAAAAAATCCAAGTACTTCTGGCTCATGTGGGCACCAGAAGAATCAGCTCAGGAGGGCCGAAGATGTTGACCCACTGGTCTTGTAGAACTCGGATTTCTTGTTCCTCAGTTTCTCTTGTGATCACAGCATTGATCTCAAAGCGAGAGTACACGTCCAAGACAGCAAGCGCCCGTCTCTTTTCATCATTCCACTTGATGTGAAAGGTGCCAGCCTCCAAGATCTGGTTGAAGTGGCTTGCTTGAGGCAAGGACGATGGTTTCTCGAGTTTCTTCATGCTGTGAGCTGCGCAAACATCGCATTTGTATTCGCGGGCGCATTGAACTCGTCTTCGAAGCCAGCATCTCGTAGAGATTGCGTCAGCTTCTCCCGTCCCGGGCGTCCAAGTTGTTTGTGAAGCCTCGGCGCGACGGCGAGACTGCTTGTTTGCTGTGGGTCTTTGCCAGCTGCATCTCTGGTTCATTCACTTTTCTTTTCTTTCTTTCCAACTCCTCTTCCATGAGCTGCTCAGTCACAAAGATGCGCCAAATCTCACGGCGACGCCAGCGATTCTCCATGTCGGTGTAGATTGCACTGGCTGCCCTTTTTCACAAACAAGTCTTCATAGTTCTGCGTGCTCTTGAGGTCTTTTGATTTCCCTTCCATAGGTGCGTGAGTTCCAGGAAGGCATGGACATGGAAGATCCAGAGCTTCAAAGACCTCTGGGCTGTTTGTTCTCAGTCTCGTGGGTTTCTTTACTTTTCCAAGGCAACGATCTTCACTATCATAGGACTTCAGACCAGTACGACATCGATTGCATACTGCATCCATGCCCTTCATGTTGCTCATGGTTTCCGTGTTCCATGACGTAGCCAAGTGAGGGTGTTCCATAGCCATGCCACCATCAACTTCTTCTTCCATCACATCCATTGTTTCCTTGCGCGAGGTGAGGTGTGTCTTTTCTTCTTCTTTCTGCAATCGGATGATTTTCTCTTTCAAATCCTGTCTCAACATGTTCAATCGCTGAATGTTGGACCAGCGAGTGCATGGAGGAGCACACCAGACGAAGTGTGGCTTTTGTCGTCGAAGCAGGTCAATGAACTGCTCTCGAACATGCTTTTGGCTGAAGTCCCACTCTGGTAGTCCAAAGGTCGAGACCTCAATGTCGGGGTAGGTCTTGGCGAGATATGTGGATAGAGCTCCTTGATCAACGTAGACCTCAAAGAAGATCAACTTTCGTTGTTCATGAAGTTTGTTCAGCGCTTGACGAAGTGATCTCGCCAATGTCTTCCTCACCGGTCTCCAAGAAGATGGTCTCACACTTCTCATGGATGTCCATGTTGGTTTGTGGTTCAATTTCGAAGACACTCATGATGATCTCAGAAGTCTCCTCAACTGCTAGGGTCACGTCTTCAGAACCAGGCAAACTGTTGTAGTCGAGGAGATTGATCAAGTAGTGTCCCTTCTTTCCGCGAGAAGGTTGGAACCCCTTCTGTTGTTTTGAATGGAATGGTCGCCCCCACATCGTTGATGGCCTTCTGGGATTGCACGTTGGTGATTTTGTTGGCTGTGGGGAAGGAGTCCACAATCCTTCCGACTTTGACAATGAAGAGCTGGGCCCTGCAACATTTGCTGGCAGGTTGCATTTGCTCGCCAAGCGCTTCAAGTTTGGCTCATGGGATTTTGGGCAGTCTTCAAAGATTGTTTTTTGTGGTGCACAGTTGGAACAATCGATGGACTACACCTCATTGAGCATTTCCTTGCGTGACTATGTGTCAAAGGTGAAACCGATTTCCATCAACAAGCACCGCAAGTCCAGCCCCAATGATCCTTGTGATGAAGTAGAGCATCGACAGTTCAGAACCTTGATTGGGGCACTTGCTTGGCCGGCTAACCAATGTACGCCGGAACTTTGTGCATCCATCAGTTTGTTGCAAGCCTCAGCCAGTGGACCTTGTGCAAAAAGATCTCTTGGGGGCGAACAAGGTGCTGCGATTTGCAAAAGAAGCCTCCCAGCAACACCTTTTTCGAATCAAGTCACATGGCAACCTGGCTGACCTATGTCTTGGCGCCTACACGGACGCCAGCTGGGCTGTCCGCCCTGATGGAAGCAGCCAGGGAGCCCTCACCATCTGCACTGGAGTTCAAAAAAGTTGGCTCGTGTTTGCAGGTCAAGTTTGTCAGCCGAGGCTCAAGCTGCAGCAGTGACGGTGGATGAGCTTGAATGGACCAAGATCTTCCTGTCCCTCATCACCGGTGGACATCCAAGGCAATGATGCTTTGAGAAAGTTTGGCTCATCACCCCTGGCGACCGACGTCAAAGCATTGTTCGATGCAGCGCAAGCAAAAGCTTCAGGTTTTCGTTTGAGTGAAAGGAGGACGGCAATCGAAGTTGCCATCGTTCGTCCACGAATGGAAGCATTGCTGGGTCGATGGTTTTGGGTGAACTCACTTCAAACGATAGCGGACGCACTGACAAGACCGACCGCAAAAGACAGCTTCCTCCAGATCCTCGCTCGCGACACTCACCAGCTGAGGTGCAATCCTGAGATTGTCGCTGCAAAGAAAGTGTCGGTTGAAGAGAGAGAAGCTGAACATTTGCGCCATGAACAATTCGCTCAGGAGCTTGACGAGCACCACGCCTTTGTGAATGAAGAGCTCGATGAGGCCAAAAAGAAAGAGCTTGGTTTGTGTCTTTTGCAAGGCTGCTCAAAACCGTGTGACAAGAGAAATGAGAAGAACTTGTTTTGCAGCCGTCGCCATTTTTTTACACTCACCAAAGCCGCACTCAAGGCCGACAAGACACTTGGCATCGAGCTGCACTAGCCGCTGCAGCAACCTTGATGCTAGAAGAACTGCCTATGGCTGAAGCTGCGGAGACCGATGGTGGAAGTCAGGTCTTGGTGGATTGGAAATTCCGGCTCACCATTGGTGTCATGTTTCTTTTGGCATGTGTTGGCGTGGCCTCATGTACCGGGCCTACTTGTTTGTGAAGGAACACGTTTTGTTTTTCTTCAGAGAGCGTGTGACTGTGAACATCCTGGCTCCTGTGATTGACGACGCTTCTAGCCATGTCGTCGCTAAAGAGCGTGAGGTCCCTGAGAATGACGGCCCCATACCCTCACGCTCGCACGCCGCCCTGGTTTGGACAGTGGAAGCACGAGCATCAACACAGAATCAGGGGTGAGCCAGTCTGAGTGGGAAAGATAGAGTGCTTTGAAAACGCAGGTGCAGAATGAGCGTGCTCAGCAACCATGGAGGCTGCTCTTGGCCGCTTTGGAGGACCACGCAGGAGACCTTGATCCTGCCACTCGTGCTGCTTTGACTGCAGAGTCTTTTACGACCCAACGGTGGCGCAAGTTTTGCGAACTGCTGAAAGAAGACTCGTCCCAGAACTACACGGACGAGCAAATCAAGCGGTGGCATCGGATGTGGAATGACAATCTTTGTTTTTGGCTGATGTCAACAAGAAGATTGTAAGCCAGCGCCGACGACTGGCTGAGTTGGAAGAGCGCGACCACTTTCGCGAACAAGTTCGTTTGGGTGAGAAAAGTGACATGATGTGCCAGACACCGCTCACATGTGTCACAGGTGAAAAGCCCAGAAAGCTACCGGCACGAGATCATGGAGCTTGGCTGCATGCCAACGAGTTCTCAAATGTTTGAACGTTGAATGGCGCGCTTTTGAATTTTCACCAGCACAGATCGGTAAGTCCATTGCAGAAAGCTTTGGCCCGTGTCAATGTGCGAAGCTCATTCGTGAACTTTACATGTCAGGATTTGCAATGTTTGATGTCGCCGCATCCGCGGCCCCTTTTCACTGTTCGACCCCTTTAGGGCCCTTGAGCACACCGTTGGTTCGACTTCTTGGAAAAGCAGTGCGTTGCCCTTCGAGCACCACTTTCGTTCTTTGGTCGCACGTGGACTTCGAGAGCTACGTCGCTTTGATACTACTATATATCTACTCTGTATCTACTACTACTACTGCTGCTACTACTACTGCTGCTACTACTACTACTACTACTACTACTACTACCTCTCCTTCTACCTCTACTTCTATTTCCACTTCTATTTCTACTCTTTCTGACAACAGTTGGTTGTGGGAAAGCACAGGAAGCCGCGGAATAGACAGCTACTTGTGGTCTAACATATCTTTGGTACTTAGAGATGGGCTGAAGCCCAACAGCAGTACACAAGAAAGGCTCAATTCAAGGAGGAACAACAATGTCCAGCCAGCATGCAGAAAGCCATGGATGGTTTTGTGGCTGAAAGTAGCCGCACAGCAAGCACTCCCTTGATCCTGTGTCCACAGAGCTAGGTGATACGTCCAGCACTCTCTGTGCTCCTTTCCATTCAGAAAGCCTTTTTACACCTTCTCTTTGCTTTTCTTGACTGCAAGCACAGTAGCAAAGAGTTCCTGAGCATCCGGAAACAGAAGGAATAAGTTAAAGGTGTTCACAACTGCAAAATCTGCAACTTGTGATTGCGAAAGCCAACTTTCCAAGAAAAGCACTTCTTTGCAAACAAAGCCAGCTGATGCAATGGCAATGGCTGTAGACATGACCTGCAGTGTCAACTGCATGCATTTGCCCTTTTGAACAGGCACATTGAACATAGGGCTTGGACTGCAACAACGGTCTGCCAAGGTTCCTTCAAAGGAAGAACAAGCCTGAAGTTCCAGCAAAGGCAACCGACAATACTAGCATGATGGACATATTGATTTACCGCAGAATGAGGCATTTACCAGGCAATCATTCGGCTGCCAAGAGCAAGAAGGCCGAACAGTTGTCCCACGGGTCGCAAGCGCAGCCTCCCGTTCGAATGTTTCTTGTATTTTGTCTGTGGCAAAAATGCTTTACACCACTGATACCACTTTGTTCAATGTGTCAGGAGGACTCGTTCCAAGACGGCTGCAAGCAATCATAAGCAAATATCAGACCTGACGAGAAATCGGGACAATCCTCCAACGGACAGAAACAATCACATTAAGAGAAAAGACATTGCCAAGAATCAAGAATCCCAGGCTAAGGCCCAAAGTTGCTCGCAATAGCATTGCCAAGCTATTGGCCACCACCAAAGCTATAGGACCGGAGCTTTGGCCGGCCTTGAAAGCTCAGTGCGTTGTTTGGGCAAACGGCACGGCAGGAGACGTTCATGTCCAAAACAGACAAGAAGCCCAGGAGACCATGATCAGAACTGCAGAGATTCCAACCTGTATGCAAAACTGTCAAAACAGCATGATCTCTTAATCGGGGGTAAAGGTACATCTTCAGCCCACCTGCCAGAAGTTGCACTTTCTCACCCATGCGGGGGAGCACTGCGAATACATAAAGGCTTCCAGGATGCCATTGAGCGAAGCGGAAAATAAGAATGCCTAGGTGGTGCCACGTGCCTAACACTTCTTGATTCTAGAGGATCTTTGGTAGGGGTGGTCAGCAAAGTGTTCCAAGGCCAATCTCTTACAGTTTGGATCTCCTTTGTCCTTGACTTCACAGCCAAGGGCTTGGCACAATATGCAGCCAGCACAGTCGGTGCCTGCTTCATGTGTCGCAGTGCTGCAAATGCCGCGGCACAATTATATATATATATGTGTATGTATCTTCCAAGCATGTGCCTCAGAAGCTGCCCATTCTCGACCATAAACAAGACCTGCAGTAATGGCACATGATGACCAATGGACTAATTTAGCATTTGCCACTGAAATGAATCAGCGTGCGGAAAGCAACCAAGCGTTGCCGGCACAAGTGCGTGTGGTTTTCTCAGTCGCTTTGCCCGGTTGAATTGGATTCAAGCACAATGTAACAATGACCGAGACAAAATGGGCTCCAACCATGTAAGGCTCCACACTTAACAAACTACTCACATGTTTGACATCGGCATCACTCTTGTGTTTTTCCACGAAGCAAGCACAGTGTGATGCTGATATGGTGTGTTGCGATAGTCCCTTCGCCTTGCAATTTTCTCCCTCATACACAGGTGTTAGTGACAACTTGGGCAGAAATCGCCTAAGCCCACATGCCTCATATTGTCCGGTATTGGACTACTGCTGAAGGTATCGAGAGGAAGCTCCTATAATCGCATGTCCCCAGACCAAGAGCGTTGGCCTTGCGAGGGATGGTTGGAATGTAAACCGGATTTCAATGCGCGCAAAGTTGTTGAAAGCTTGGGTACTGAGATGATATCAAGCGAGTCATCAGTAAGGATCTCTTTTGACAGTATCTTCCCTAATTTCCGCCTGATTCAATTCAAGCATACTTTTACAATCATCGCTTGGATCTTCATAATTCTGACTTTTGTTGAGGATGCGGCTTGGTGTACGCGCGCATTTGTTTCTCGTTTTTTCCTAGTTGCAGCAGAAGCATTTCCACAAGGCCGGACATGTTCAATGTTCTTGACTTCCTTCTTTAGGTCGCAACGAACAGCTGCATGAGAGAAGATGGGCCTTGCAGACAAAGTAAACCAGTCATCAGAAGAACAATCTCCGCTGTTCCAAGCTCCTGGCCCAAAGCAAAGGCCAAGCCACCCGACGCCTCCTTTGAACAGCGCGTTGGAGGGCTTTGAGAACAAGCTGCACACTCATCTAAAGTTCCTCTTTTTAGCCTTTAAACCCTATTACAAGTCCTTGAAGCAGCAAAAGAGCTCTGAGGAGTGTCAGTCGCGCCGTCCTTACAAAAGCAAACATGCGCAGCCACGGCAAAGCAGCAGTGCTCAAAGCTGAGAGAATTGCCGCTGCTGCTGCTTCTCTTCGACAGATGGAGCTGAGAACACACTGTAGGCAATCTCCTCCAACAACACAGACACACACACTTTATGCGACGAACCAACAAACAAAAGCAGCCCTTGCATAACAGCACTTTCTGACAAGCGGACACCGGATGTGTATGATGCGCATATATGTGCATGTCAACAGCCACTAGCAACTTCTTTGATTTGCTCTTGTTCAAAATTCACAGAAAAAGAGACATGACAGAAGAGCCTCCACATGGTTCTACTTAATCCTGACAATCCTGACCTGGGCCTTCAGGTATCGAAACTCCTCTATCTGCACACCTTGCCAACTTGGTAACATATAAACCATGTTCCGACCTTGAGAAAGGCAGCAAAAGGGTATATATCTGAATCATGTCTGAGTCTTCTCAAACACAAAGCTCAGAAACTACTGTTGACAGAGTTGCGGGGATTGTCCTCAACGGGAGCGAAAAGCAAACGCAAAATGATTGATCCAAGGTTGGAGACCAAGCCTCAGTGCAAAAAAGACACGAAACGAAATGCACTTGATATTGGTCTGAGACACGGACCGAAAACGCCCCATTGCTGCTCATTGAACAGGACCAGCAATAGCATTTTCTCACCCTGGTGCCCATCACACTGCACGAGCATTCGCTGGCAATAGCATTCGCAACTCCAAAGGAAATCATTCGATGAAAGTGCCTCACCTCGGTGAGGGCAAGCTTGATGAACACCATGGCTGCAAACTCAACCAACAACGTTCGATGGTGTTTAGACCTGAGCTTCCAAGCGGAACAAGTGCCGACTGTGTTGACTTGCAGCTTCCAAGCGGAAAGCCAGCGTTTCTGATTGTTTCAGTCTTCAGGGCTAGGACAAAAGCCCTGATGATGCAGTCACGGGCTTCCACTGCGACTCCTTCCAAGATTCTAAGATGATCAGGGTGTGAGACCATGTCTATTCTGCAGTGTCAGCTGTCAATGGCAGGTCTTTACCTTGCAGGTGTTATTGAGTACCCCTGCCTAGGATACTTGACTCTTCAGAACATGTTCTGAATTCGTTCTCATAGTTACAAACCTCAGGGTTTTGTCATGAGTTGTAGGCAAAGCAAAAGAGCAATACAATTTTGACATACCAACCGCTTCTAGTCTGATTCCCAAAACCCTCCTGCCATACAAATGGCCAAGCAATCCACCAGAACCACACCTTGACATATGACTCCAAGGCATTGTCGAAGAGTCAGGTGGTTTTCTGCCAACCGGCACACATTCACTCCAAACTTGGTCAGTGACTCAGTGGCCAACCAATGCATAGACCATCTGTGATGAAGCAAACGCCAGGGGCACATCATCCAGTGCAAGTGTGAACAAAAGCCTGTGGACCAAACCAAACAAGCTATCGAACTCAAGCAGAAGTGAGTTCGGAAGGAATGTGTGTGTGTGTGTGCGTGCGCGTGATTTGGTATGAGTCTTTGATATGGTTTGTTGCCAAATTCTCCTTCTTCTCCTCAGGTTGCCACATGCAAAGTGTGCGGACCAAAATGGCTCCAGCCTTCGCAAACGTCAGCACCATAATTTAACAAACTTCCTATGTTCAAGTGTCAAGGGCCTCCGCAGCTGCTCGCCGCCGGAAGTCCTGAGCTGCCTTGGCGATGGAGTTATGGGACCAGCAAACGTAAAACATGAAGTCTCCAAAACAACTTGTTGCTTGGAAGTCTATTGCGACACTTGTTGCTTGCGCGAGCTTTTTTGATCGTATGGTTGAGCACTGCCGGCCACCACACCCGCACACTGTCAACAGAAAGCACGTCCGTCTGGAAGCTACTGTGGCTGCATGCAAAACCTGTGACCGAATTACACTATACAAACTAAGTGACCTCAAATGTGTAAAAAGGTCGATTCCTAGATGAACTAAGCGCCTTGTCAATTCACAGATGGAGCTTCAGCTGCATAGCCTGCAGAAAATTGCATTAAAATGCTAGAAGGTCAGGCTGCAGAATCAGAATCAATTTTCTGAGGTGCAAGCCCAAGTCCCGCTCAACCATTGCAATATTCTGCTGGAGCACTTTCATCTGTCATGATTTCTGGTAGTGCATGCATACTGGACAATTGGCAGCAAGCTGGGATTGAACGATCCATGCACAATGGCCTCTTTGGAACCTTACTGTTTGTAGAGAACTGCCCTGTTTACACATAGAAATGTCATAGTCTCTGAGGCAGGTTCACTTGAAAAAATAACATGAGGAACATCACCAAACTTAATATATAAAGCATATGATTCGTTGTTCAGGACTGAACAGTTGGACAAACACCACCAAGCAAATTAATGAAGGTCACGTGGATAGCGTCTAGGATAGGTTTGTTCCACGAAGCGCCTTACTTGAGATATGTTCTTGCTGAAATGCTACAGGCAATGGCCATCCAAGCATTGTTTGGCAAGCACCAACAGCAACCAACTCAACACAGACCTGATTCAACATGTTGATTGGTTGATGATTGATGATGCAAGACATGTTGTTGCGTGTGATAGCAATTCTTGCATCAATTGTAGCCTTTTGGGATTCAAGTAAAGTGGGTGCAGCAACTGATGGATGGACCAGCAGCGAGTTGGTGCTTTGGAGAATCCACCATCTTTGTAGGCTTAAAAAAGATTAAGTGGCACCTTTCCACGTCCTTTGGCGACTTGCTGCTTTGCATCAAATTGCAGGGACAGCTAGGACCCATGCTGCATCAGACTTGGTTTGCCAAAGCTGAGTTCAATGAGCTGAGTGATTGAAAAACAAGAGCAAAAAAGCCAACTGTAAAGGCAACAGGCTGTGATGAAACTGTCTGGTGACAATACAACATCAAAGGTGGAACTATGCTTGCTTGCTGGCCAATCGGTCGGTGCGGTTGATGGATGTGTGTGTGCCCCTTGTAATCACAGGGATCCCGTTGGATTGTTTTCTTTTCAGCAGGGGAACTGGGCACTCTGTGACTGACCCAGTTCAACGAAGCTAGGTCACAGAGTGGGATATTCGGACTGATCATCCGAACGTACCTGCGATTTTTCCGATTTTTCTGAATGGCATGAGGCTAAGCCTAGAACCTCACTTGCTGCAGACAAGAGCGATCGTCGTCATTTCGACCTGTTCGTCGCCTTCGACCTTGCGCTTTTGGCCTCACTTCCCCTTACAGACCCCAGGCCCCGATGGTCCTTACTGGTTCTCTTAGGAAATGGAACCCTAGGCCGGCGTGTGGCGCCGCTTTCAGTTCAGTACACCCTATCCTAAGTGTGTTTGGCCTCGCGCCAACGCGGGATGAGCCCGCAGAGTGCCTCCCGTGGACCCGTTGAACGGGGGTTTGTCGTTATCTCCCCTGCCCGGAGATGTAAGTGTCCGGAGCGGACAGCAGATGGCTTACGCCACAAGAAGTGGGATGTTTGTCTCATTCTTGGAATTCCAAGTTGGCTCATGCCTTTACGTGACCGCAGCGGTCAAAGCAGCCAGCCATTTCGGCAGGGCACAAGGTGACCATAGCGGTCAAAGCCAGTTTAAGGTTCATTGGAACCTGTTGGAGCCTTAGTATCTTAGGTGATCCGATCTTCTTTCCCGCCATGAATCCTTCTCCTGCCGGTCTCGCTCCAGTGGAGGGCATACCGATGAGGGCCCAAGCCATTCTACATCGTGAGATTCTTCACGTACATGCCCTTTTGACCCTCACTACCTCACTCCTTCGTACTCGACTCGCCATCCTCTCTCCCACCTTCCTGGACTGCGTCACCTCGCCACACCTTCAGGTACAAATTCGAGGACTTGATTCCGCAATTCGCCAAGCGACTCAGGCTATCCACACTGGTCTTCACTACATTCAAGAGTTACTTACCACCTTTGGCCTGATCCACGCTTTGACCTTTGACACTGCTCAATTAGACGCAGAACTACGTGGACGCACTACTTTCCGAGACCCCCGTCTTCCTCCCAGTCTTCCTTCAGCTCCAGGATCTCAGTCGACGCGACGAATGACTCCTACCAGTCTTACCACCAGTCTTACTCCAGGTGATGACACTATGCTGACGACTCGGACCTCTTCCACCTCACGACCTACGCATGGATTTGTCGTTGCTACTTCGAACCGACCCCTTTCCACTGCGGAGATTCGAGCCACTATGAATCGCTCCCGTTCTCGATCTCGTCCTCGCTCGAATCCGAGGGACACCTAGTTTCACTCTTCCACCTCGACTGGACCGCTTGAAAATAAGCTACGGTTTCTCTTTCTTTTTCGGTTCACATGTTTACACCTTGGCACTGCACCTTTCCTTTTCACTTGTTTTCTCCCTTTGGCTCTAGCTTGTCTCTCACAGTTTATTCTCCACACCCTCATCCTCTTTCGTTCGCCGCCGCTTCGCCGCCATGTCTTCTTCGACTTCGACATCACTCTCTCCTCCTCCAGGACTTGCGCCAGTTGAAGGACTACCTGTTGCAGCTCACGCCGTACCACATCGGGAACTTTTTCCTATACACTCTTCTTTGCAGCTGATCTTCACGATTCTACGAGGACCCTGGGACACATTGGCTCCTGCCCTCGCGGATACCATCACTTGCCCTCGTCTTATTGCTTACCTTCGCGGACTGGACGCCAGTATTGATCAGATCAAACGAGCCACCTGCACTACTCTTGTTTACACGGACCAACTTTTCGACGCTTTGGGCTTACTACATCTAACTCACTTCGACCGAGGACACACTCGATTGACTGCCCAGCTCCGCGACCAGACCACCTCTTTGGATACACCAGTTTCGCCTCCTTCTCCTTCCTCCCTCCTGCCACGTTTGATCCTTTCTCCATCCTCTCCCTTACCGGTTCCTCCGACGCCTACTTCGACAACTACCACTGGACCACATCCTCCTACTCCGACCACTCACTCACCTCCTATATCCTTCAGTACTACATCAAGCTTCGACATTGACGAGGACGACACGCTTTCGCTCCCGCTCTCCTCCACGACCATATAGGTCTCACACACCTTCCACTCGGCGTTCGCATAAAAAGTTGACTTATCCTCACTTCCTCACTTCTATAGTCACTTCCACTTTCAATCATGTCACAGGTTGATTTCTTTGTCTTACCTCCTTGGCTCTGAGCAATCCGTCCGATCCGAGCCGATTCGATCATCCTACCCTGCCTTAAGCCATGTCCGGCACGCCCTCTCCGCCTTGTGGCCTCGCTCCGACTCCAGGTATATCTGTCGTTGCACAAGCAGTTCTACATCGGGAACTTCTTCATGTACATGCTTGCTTGGCCCACATCCATACTATTCTCCACCAACCTCTTGCTCTTCGCTCCACTCCACTTCTCGATCGGGTGACCCATCCACACCTCCGCGCACAACTCGAAGGTCTTGACAACACACTACTACTTGCACTCCGGGTCAATCACACCGCCATTCACTACACCCACGAGCTCCTGGGTCTCTTACATTTTGTGCACCGCAGTCCAGAACAACTTGAAGCTGAACTTCAGGGTTGCACGGACTTTGGCGTTTACCTCTTCCCACTACCTCTTCGATTACTACCGTTCACGGCATCCCCGCCTTTGCAGGCCGACCTCATCATTCCTATCGTTCTGAAGTACCTTCTACACCGACCTCACCGTTGACTACCAGGACTCACAACACCTTTAACCGGGCACCTCCATCTTCGGGACCACCTCCTCCTGGCACTGTACCTCGAACCCGTCTGACCGCTCGCTCTCGGTCCCGATCTCGACTTCGGTCGACCAGTCCTTAGCCCGTTTCACCCCGTTTTCTCGCTCGGAAAAAACCTACTGCACGATGACCGCAAACTGACCTTAGCATCCTTCTTACCGTTGTTTTCTCACTGTCGGCTTGATTTCCGCTTGCACTTGATGCCCTGGGGCTCCAGCCATTCTGATTTAATCGATGCCACTTTCCACCTTCTATTGATTACTACCAATGATTTCCTTCTACATATCGCCATGCTTTTCGACATTTTTTCCTGGGATTGTTTACCCTTTCTTTCTCTCCGGAATCCCATCGAGCTCACCGCCGACGACGTGAACCCGGACGGAGCTCCAGATCGCATGATGACGTTGATTACAGTGGTGATGAAGTTGACACTACCGCATTGCCTTCAACCGATCTGCCACCAGGGACTGAGATTGCAAGCGGCCCTCCAGTCCCAGATCCACCAATCCCAACATTGCCACCGGCGATACTTCTACCCATGCCACCACTTCAGCCAATACCACTGAGCTTCTTGAACTTCAACGACTCGCTGCCTCATGATGCTCCTCCATACCTTCATGGTCGCCATTTCACCGGCTCGACTTTTCTCGGTACGTTGTCGGCTGAAAAGACACCGCTGCTGCTTCTCACTTTTCGACTGCAATTCATTCTCCTGATGTTTATAGTGTCCTTTGGGTTCCTTTTTTTCCCGTCCGTATAGTCTCTTGGCTCAAACTCTTGTCTCACTGTCCTCCTTTCGACTTCCTTTCGACGAGCTCAATGACTACGCCATCAAGTACATGTACCAGACGACCTCGTCCTTCCGTGGCCTCCCACCTTCGGGACCCTGATGAACCTATCCTCATCTCCACCAATCTCCCGAAGAAAGGTCGCCCGGCAGAGCCTCCCATTTCATTACGG